TGCATAGAACTCTTATTTTGAAATGTAATGCTGTGAGCTGTTACTTATCCTTTCTTACATATAGATGTAAAAAAAAGTATACATGCGCAGTCTTCAGTCCACAAAAAGACTTAGATTATTAGATGTCAAGAATCTTTCCGTCTTTTTCTGTTATTTTACATAAACCTTCTGCCAAAATCTGTTGTTACCCCACTCAGAAAGTCTCACACTCACTCAAATATCTTGATTTCATCATTTTATTCAGTGTCATTCATATAAGTAAAACTGTTGGTGACATTGTTTGCTGAAGGCAGCGTCCCGCCCATCAGAAGGTCTCACACTCGGTGTCTTGTGTGGAGCAGACGGCACAGTGGCAGTGCAAAGCCATGGGATAGTGGTAGAGAGAGGAGACGTTGGGCTGGCAGCCCGGCAGGCTGACGGTCATGTCACGGGTACGGCTGTACGTACACACACGGTGGTGGCGGTGGATGTAAGGGGGATCAGGCACAGGTTTCTGCACACCAATAACGAAAAGTGACAGTGAATTCAACAACGTTTCTGAAGTGTGTGAGTCAATAAACAGTAATTGTGGGGCTGGGTTACACTACAAAAAACAACCACACACTTTATTGCTACGCTGTGTTTTCTGTAACTTAAAGCTGGTTTTCATTTGCAGCCTTTTAAATTGTTTTCCTACTTAATAAAAAAAAAACAACAAACAAATGTGATTCTTGAGATGGAACATCAGCCGGGACATAACCTTACTAAGTGAAAAATTTAAAATTCAACTTTTAGTTCTGTTTTATTTTGTGTACTTTACATTAAGATTTTTACACTTTGTAGGTTGTCCATTTCCAATTTCTAATACTGTTAAGGCATAAACAGACTATATGTAAGCATGTGTTGAAGACATGTTGGTTAAATGTGTTTTGGTATTTGGTATGGAATTGATAGATTGAATACACGTAGCTCTTCCCTAAGTCACATCTCACTGTCCTCTGTGGATGTACTTGAAAGCTCCACTTACTAGTGGATTTTAAACTAATACTGACCTTCTGCCATGGGCCTGAGTCCGCTCTGTTGCTGATTCAGGGCTCTTTCTCCTCTAAAGGCTTTGAATCGACGGAGTTGTTGACCCCCTAAATTTGGTTTTTCAATTACTCAGAGGGGAAATTTGAATCTCTGCAAACTAGAACAGTTCAGTAAAAGTTCAGTAACCCTCCCTGCTTGGAGGGATCTGAGGATTGCTTATGACAATGACATATGGGTCAGAGCTGAGAACGGGCCCTCTTTTGGTTTGGGTGGAGTCCTGGGTGATTCATCATTTATTTGTCCAATTCCAGTATTATGGAAGCTTTCAGAAATAGCAACAGAAAAGAGTGGGACTCCTTTATCGTCTAAACGTTACTGATGTCACTTTACCGTGTGTGTGTGTGTGTGTGTGTGTGTGTTTGTTTGTATGTTACCTCCCAGGTGTGACAGCGCCCCCAGCAGGCCTCTGTGGTGATGCGCAGACCCTGGCAGCCCGGCTTCTGGGCCACAAAGGAGAACTCTCGGACCGCACAGCCACGGAAACCATGAAGTGTGGATGTCGCAGCAAAGCACACCAAGGTTGTTCCTGCCATCAGGAGCAAGAGGAAGGACAGGGACAGCGGATGGAGATGCATGCTGGGAATGATGGGTAAAGAAAGAGAAACACAGAAAAAATGAGTATTATTCAAGTATGTTTTACAAATGACCTACTGTACCTGGATGGTCCACAGTTAACCTTAAAATAAAGATGGCGTGTATTTTGTCCTGTTTACATTAGTGGAGAAACAAACATTTTATTGAATTTTAGTTTTGTCCTCCTCTCTTCCCTGACTCAACTATTCAGTTTTGCTTCTTACATAAAAAAGATTTTTAAAAATTGCTCAAAGTTTTATTGCTAATATTATACATCTGTAGAGGAATGCATAAATCCAAAAAGTAACTGACACAAGACCGACTTTCTGAGGAGTACTGACATTCAGCATGACTCAAACCTCCCTCTAGTGTTCATTATGGCTACTGCAGCCAGCAGTACCAGAGTAGGTCTCTGGTACACTGTCACAAAAACTAAAACGAACATTTCAGTAAGTACTTACTAACTAAAAAATTTAACTTTCAAACAACAAAAAATAATAATAATATTGTAACGCCTTTAAAAGTTATTAATCTGACATTATACTTACTTAATTAAACTTGCAAAACACGTTTTTTGTTTCCAGTTCCTTAATGCTATTGGAGACATCTGTTTAATTACTCTGCCTGTTTTCAAGCAAACCACTTAAACTGTACTGTAACAACTGGAATCATCTCAACTCAGCCAGACTGCAGAGAGTGCTTCACTTGTTTTAAGAAATCTAACACTGAAATAAAAATACTTTCTGCATGAACAAAATGAAGTGGAATACATTTATAAGCCACTCACAACACACTGTGTTCACAGTGGATCCATATAGGCTATGAAACTACTCTACATGTGGTGTAAAATAACTTTTTGGTCCCTAAAGCAGTTTGACGTTGCTTAAAAAAATAATTATTAGTGGATGTTAAAAGACACTTCTCACCTTTTCAGCTGAAGATCTAGAAGAGATTTGAGCTGCTGGACTCCGGTGTCTCTCTGCCCGCACAACAACCAGTGAATGGAACCAATCTGTCCTTGTTGTTGTTTTTAGAAGGCCATTAGGGCGGACGGCCACTCTGACATCATAGCAATTACAATGAAATACCATTAGAGACCCCAAGCCAGAAATCATGGAGACTCCCTGGAAAATACTGATGCTTGTCTATGTTTTTGTAACCTCAGCCTGTATCTGTGTGTGTGTGTGTGTGTGTGTGTGTGTGTGTGTGTGTGTGTGTGTGTGTGTGTGTGTGTGTGTGTGTGTGTGCAGTTCCTTGTCCAACTTTGGTCTACTCTCAGTGAAGTGAGGATGGTCAGTTCTCATCTTGACACTGTGACAAAGGATTGGTAACTTGAATACAAAGGACATGACTTTTTAAACTCTTACTGGGTCCTTCAAACACTGGCAAGTTTTTTTGTTTTTGAAGTTCTGTCAATTTCAAAATTAGGGGATTAAACCAGATAATGTCTCTTCTGCTGTCACATGGACATTTTTCTTAAAGTTTCACACTGTTTTCACATATTTGAGCCCATTTACTAAAACTCACCGTGACTTTATATCACAGCTAACCATTTTGCAAACCATGCTGCTCTATTTCTGTTACTGTTTCAGGTAGCCATTGGTTCCTAATGCATTGTTCCACCATAATACGATGAAATATTAGGTGACTCTGATCAAAATGAGTTGATTGATGTTAATGGTGATGGATCACACAACTGCTTCAAGTTTCAAGAGTCTGCTAATTGATTTTGACACCATATAGATATTAATGTAAATCAATGGTTGCCTGAAACAGTTGGTAAAATGCATCAGATCTGTGTAGACTGCATTTGAAAACAGTCAGCAAAAATCTAAAGAATACATCGTTAGTACAAAAAAAGAGAGCTAAATGCTAAATGCTTCATCGTTGCATGCATGCATTTTTGCCAAACAACACTGACATGTTACTGACGTGTTACAAAGTTGATGTGGCTAACGTATTAGTTAACAGTTGATTATTTACAGATTTGATTATTGTGCAGACACAGAGCAACATTAACATTCATTTGAAACTATGTTTCGCCACCTGACAGATTTAGCTTATACTCATTTGAACTCTGTTTTGGTTGTCCACCAACTCCTGAGGGAAATATTTGGCTCTTCAGCTGTTCCACTAGCTAGGTGCAAATCTTTTATTCTACTGTTTGATGCTAGGCGGGTTTTGTACAATGAGTTTATAAGAGCTTTTACGCTGAAAACAGCTGCCTACCTGGGACAGCAAATGACTTTGATTGCAATGGAGTTTGTGGGCCAAAAAAAACAAAACAATAAGCTAAAAGAGGCTTAAAGGCTCTCTGTTAAACCAGGGGCAAAGCTGAGTTAGGTGATAATTCTCTGTGAGTTCATAACTACACTGTCACATTACACTTTGTCTTTATAAAAACCAGAATTTGCTCAGCTTTAAATAATTGCACATTGTGCCTGTAGATGACAGTATCAATAAAAGGGAGTGGAATTAACATTATTGAATATCAATACATGAATATTATTGGAGAGACAAAAGAGGTGACGCACAAAACAGCACAGACTCCCAGAGTGTTTTCTCAAAGTGAAGTTTCATTTTTAGCACATAGGTTTTTTTTCTCCATTCTACACCCACCCTGTAATGTTACGTACAGTAGTAAGCCTCTCTACATTCAACCCCCCCCCCCCCACCGCTGTGTTGGTCCCCAAAATATACATCTTCTTCTTCTTCTGCATCGTCTTAATCATCTTCTCTAAGTGTTTTCTTCAACACAACAAACACAGACCATTGGGCAGACAGTGCAAATCTAGAAATTCAGTGAAATTGCTACGTAATGCGGTTGTAGGTTTCGGTAACATTATATTCTCATTCTGTTACTGTTGCTCTGACTTATTGCCATTCTATAGTGTCTAACTCTATGTCCTTTCTTTCCTCTGTCCTTTCTCCTCTGTTTTTTTTACCTCGCTGCTTTCATCATACCATTCACATCACCCCTCTGATTTAAAGCATTTGTTTAAAATTGGCCACATGAAAATGGCCACAGGGAGGAGACGTGACAGAGAATGCAGCCCGGTTTGATGGCTGTCTGTGAGGCCAAAGCTCTCTACGAACATCTCTCTTCTCTCGCTTCCTCTTCTCAAGCAGTTCTAGAACATGGAACAGAATTCTAGAAAGAAGAATATTGATCAAAACATTCGAGACAGTGGGAGCCGGGTCTTCCCCGAGTCAGCTGACCGACTGACAATAACAATCAAGAGGGTTCGATAGTAAGCTAGCCAAAACAAAAATCATGAAGTAAGCTGAGTTTTATGACAGCGAGGTCAAGTTTTGTCTCTTTTCAGTTGTGTTTTGTGAGTGTTTTTTTTTTTTGCCTGACTCAAGACAACGTTTGAAATCCGACCAAATGGGAGCATTTGCTTTCCTTGCCTGCCCAGAGTGCCAGTCAGATGGTGCCTGCAGGTGCAGGTTTTGATGTGTTTACTGGTTTGAGGCTGCCAGTACATCTTATCCATCAGTGTGTTTCTATTTTGTGACTGCCAAGGAGCACTCCAAATGCAAAATTGTGGACTTTGAGGCATACACTCACGCTGCAAAAATAGGGGAAAAACAAAACATTTATGCCTGAAAGGAAAAAATAATACAGCGCTGTGGTACTGTAGAGAAGAGAGGCATATGTCAGTGGTTCCCAACCTGGGTGTCAGGGCCCTTATGGGGTCCTGAGATAATTCAGAAGGGTCACAAGTTATTTAAAATGAGTTTTAATGTGTTTGTTTTTGTTTCCTCAACATATTTGCTTTTTGTATTTTTTTGCCTTTGAAAACCCCACAATTCAAACTATTTGACAGGGATAAACACTCTTTGGTTTAACTGCTCGCAACTCATGTTCACACAAGCAGGAGTCACCAAGTAAACAATTATTTGTTCTAAGGGGTCGCAAGCAAAAAGGTTGGGAACCACTAGCCCGTGTGTAATAATCCTAACTCAGGTTCCAATTTATAGCTTTTTCCAGAGCTTTCGATCGTATCTCAGCAGATCGAGTTCACTCAGATGTCATAGAGATGGCTCAAGTGCCATCATCTGACGATACATTGCAACCATCTGTTACACGATGACTACTGAGCCATCTCTAGGACGACCAAGCAACTCTATCCCTTGATGAAGACCATGACATGTGATTGTAAGCTGCAGAAAACGCTAGTCAGTGGACCTTGTGTTAAGTGTTTATGTCAACTATTTCATGCACAAATTTGACAATATTTAGTTTTTGATTTGACTGACGAGTTAGAAGATCCAATCTGGATGTCGATTGCAACATCTGCAAATTAAATTAAATGCACAGTTGCAATGTTAATGGTTGAAAGGAACAAAGAAGCAATGGCAAATCAGGTGTAGTAAACCGCAGCCTGAAAGCATCAGAGCAAGTCTACTCAAACTCAAACCAAACTTAAAGCATTCATGGAAAAAAATGGAAATTTAGGCAAGGGCCATAAACGCATCACTGTAAGATTCATGACTCTGTTCTGAAATGTTTAATTACTCATTAACAGCTCAATAAAACTTAAAATTCCAGTCTGGGAGCTGCACGTCAAATGGATTTCAAAACCTTGTTGACTCAGGCCTGATTTCAAGTGTGTGTTTTGAAAAACTGCTGGTCTGGAGGGCTTTTGAATGTTTGGTTACGAAGCAGCCAACAGGTAGCTCTGCGTCTCAAACGTCAGAAAAACAATCGATTTGTTTTTACAATACATTCGGATTCAAACCCTGTCCCTCAGGAAGGAGAGAAGGAGAGAGAGAGAAAAAGAAACAAAGAGTTCTCTATCACTCTGTCTACGCATATCTCCTGCTCCAGCACTCCCTGGATACATACACCAACACACACACACATGCACACACACACACACACAACCTGACCATCATCTTCAAATAAGGTTACATTTCCTGATCAAATAGAAAATAAATAGCATCAGTATCAGTTTTCCACAAAATGAACAAGATCATACAAAAACCAAGAAAAAAAACAACATAATTACAAAGCAAAATCATTTTTCATCAAATAAATTTACACAGAAAGTACCTTTAAGACAATGTGAATATCAAGGACGCAACAGGAGTAAAAACAAGAGTGGGGCATAAACACTGGAGCGTGACACCCACTTCCTGTTTAACCCCCTAAAACACAGATTATCCTGAAAGAATGAAAATATTGCTAAAATTTCAGTTTTTTTCCCCCTCTCTTTGTCCCATTACTCTATCATAATGATCAGACAAGAATAAACAGATTTTTGTTGGTTCACACCGAAAAAAAGTTCTCATGATCATGGTCGCCATCTAGCAGCATCAGGTCTGCTGAGCCTAAACGAACAGACGTTCCAGGTTCAGGAATCCAACTGGATCGCTGCGTTTTTCGTTTTTCGTTTTTCTTTTCGTCTGAAACACTTATGGTGCGCTTTTTTTTTGTCCTCCAGTAACCTCTGTGTTGGGCGGGGTTTACTGTTTGGTTCAAAGTTGGGGGGTGGGGTCTAAACTTCAACTTTGTAACATGCAACCCAGGCAGTTTATTAAATTTATTTAAAAAATCAATGTGTCCCGCAACATAAAAATTAAAGTGCCCTGTGGAGTTTTTCACCCCTAGTAGCATCGTAGTATAGAGCAATGTTTTTTATGAATGGGTCCCCATCGTGTATGCATCGTGAATACGGTTGGTTGGACATCTTTGCACATGAGCACACAGGCAATTTGATTCACATTATGCTGCCGGTTTAATGCTATTCCACTGACGTAATGCGCAAAGAAATTTTGCAATATGCCAACAAAGGCAGCAAAGAAGAGGACTACTAGCAAGTAAACATGGATGTAAACAATGCAAGAGTTAAAATATTTTTAAAAATTGGCTTTGCAAATGTTTTATTAGGAAGGAAATGCATTCAGCACCTTTGTCAAGCCCCAGGGATACACACAATGCGTTTTGGTGAGTTAACACTGAATGTAAACATAACTTTGTTTCTCCACAGGGCACCTTCAAACAAACATAAAAAACATAGTAATGATCTTAAACATGGAATGTTTTTGGATTTCAAGAAATACCCCTTTAATATACACCCACTGCACCACTGACAACCGAAATTTCAAAAGAAAAGAAAAACAGCCGCTGCTAATCCAGTTCGTTCCTCCCCTCTTTAAGGTCTGTTAAAGGGGAATTCCGCTGAATTTCAGCACTCACATTATGGCCTCATACAGTTAACATGTGATGTGAATTCAGAATTCAAGGCCAGCCTTCCCCTTCATGGTATCTGCTACACTAGTGTTTCTCCCATAATACACTACAGAAATATCCAGAGACATATGTATATATATAAAAACATTATCATCATCATCATCAGTAGTACTTAGAGTAGAGTAGAGTAGTAGTAGTAGAGTAACAAGTAAGAAGAAGGAACAGTATTGTACTTTATATCATTATCATCATCTTCATCAGTTGCTATTTAACCTCGAGGGACTTTAGGCTCGTCCTTTGATGGAACCCGACAAAATTGGGAGAGGATTTAGCGCCAGAACCAGCTGTGTGTGTCTGTGTCTGTGTGTCTGTGTGTGTGTGTGTGTGTGTGTGTGTGTCTGTGTCTGTGTGTGTGCGTGTGTGTCTGTGTGTGTGTGTGTGTGTGTGTGTGTGTGTGTGTGTGTGTGTGCGTGTGCGTGCGTGTATGTGTGAATATCTTGGTGCACTGATTTGTTGGTGTGTGAGATTTGTTTGACCTGGATACACTTTCCCTCTCTAGCTCTGTCATCTCATATTTACAGTAAATATGTACCTGCGTCTGCGTGTATGTGAGGGTTTGTGTGTCTGGTCTGTGCGGCAACAGTTTTGGGACATTTGTGTGAAATTGCTTCTTTTGTTTATTAATGTATTGTGCTATCCACGCATGAAATAAGCATCTCTGACCAAAAGATCAATACGAGGCCACAGTACAGACTCTGACTGTTGGTTGGTTTAATATCAAGACAAGTTAGACACATGTTAAACCTGGTAAGTGCTGCACCATAAGAGAAATCTCATCTCTTACTTTGAGGCTGATTTGAAGCAGGCCAGCTACAAATTTTGGGCACTGACCTGCAGTTTAATACACCAGCCGTTAATTAAAATGACAGTCTGCACTTTCGGACAATATTCATCTTCTGATCTGCAACATAATGTGTGTACAGCAAAAAGTGAACCAGTTTCACACAATCAGAAAAAAGGTACAGTCTTTACCTCGTATCACTGAGTTTTGTGCGCTCTTTCACAAAAAGCCACCCCCTCGATGATACAAGATAAAAAGAAATGCAGATTTGTTTTGTACCTTTTCCATCTGAGATCCCAACCCTTTCACCACCAACCTCATATCTTCTCTCTGTCCCCTATCCCCCCTGTTATCTAATCTGGAGCTGCACCTAGGTGGCGCTCTCCCCGGCTCCAGAGGAGGAAGAGGAGGCCCCGCTGGGCTTGAGCTCGGGCTGGTCGGAGTTAGCCGTCTGCGGGGACGAAGGGGTCGCCGGGTCCCCTCTCTCGCCTCGCTCCTGGAGGTTGCGCTGGTTCCTTGCGGCCTCAGTGAGCATCTGCATCCGGCGCTCCTGGTGCTCCTCCAGGCCTCGCCAGAGGTCTGCACGCTCCCTGTCTCGCTTCATCTCCCTAGAGGGGCAAGTTGAAGGGAAGGTTACAAAGCTTATAGACGATAGAGAATATAGCAAGGGACTGAAATCCCTGGAGATATGTTGGAGAGTGTTGAAGTTACCACTTTCTCCTGAAATGTCCTTTAATTTAACTGTGCTGTATACACCACCAACGGCAAATTATGTTTTCATGTGTCAGATGATAATCTCACATTAGTTTAAAAAAAGTTATTTAGAAATTTAAATAAAATGGAAGGAAATTAATACATTTCATATATTCCAATGAAAGACTTATTGTTAAGGCTTAATATAAGTAAATAAATAATACTTGTAAAAATATTGTGCGCATACACCTTATGGAAACCATTAAGCATTTAATAAAGACAAGGGCTGAAACCTTGAAAAAATCTATAAAATCAGCTTTGGCAAGTGATCGACTAAAGTTAAACTGTGTAAGTAATATGAATAACTAACAGTTCTAATGTCTTGTCAGAGAGGTATATGTGCTGTGATGCAGAGATATCTGAAGTTAGCATGCTAACCAACTAGCCCAGGCCCGTCATGTCTCTGTAACCACTTTGTACTTTGTGCCACTCATGAGGCAATAATCTGACAGTATAGCTCACCCACCCACACATGTCAATTAAGGAAATGGAAAAGAACCAAAAAAACGTATTTGTCTTGTTAACTTATATATCTAACGAAGGTTGAGGTCAGGGGCAACTGGACTTTGTAGAAGAAAAAAACTAGAAGAGTTTTCGTCCAGGCCTGAAAACCTCCTCCTGCCGGTGCTCCAAAGCTCCTGTGCTAGAGGTGCAAACACCAACACTTTCCCCGTGCTCCAAGCTCCCAGTCCAGGTAAAGTCAGCTAATATGACAGCTACTAGCTGCATGACTAACTGAGCTAGGTGAGCTAACAAGCTATCTGATATCCAACGAAGGTTAAAGTCAATGGCAACTGGACTTGGTTGAAGATACTGGAAGACGTTTCGTCCCTCATCCAAAGGACTTCGTCAGGTTCGTCTGGTTCGTTAGTGTTCCTGGTTGCTGTAACGACAGTCGTTACAGTCGTTAGGACTACCGGTGGCCAAGACTGAACGACCATCGTTGGTATCTTCACCTGAGGCCAATAGGTTACGTTTGTTGAGTTTCCTGGGAAGTGATGAAAGGACAGCATTGTAAGTGGGGGATAAGTGGTGGCCTACGCCACTACTACGCTGCTACTGCCAGTCATCTACCAGTCAGTCAGAACTGAAGAAGTCCTTTGGATGAGGGACGAAACGTCTTCCAGTATCTTCAACCAAGTCCAGTTGCCCTTGACTTTAACCTTCGTTGGATAACTATGAGCTGGATGACTGAGAATCTTCATAGACAACAAGCTATCTGACAGGTTGCCAAAAATCTTACAATTCTTACATATTGCACCTTTAATATATAAGGGTCTTTCTCTCTTGACATCACTAAGCAGGCAAAAGGCCTGACTGAAAGACTCAAGTCAGGGAAGGAATGTATCCTATGTGCAGTAAACACCACAGATTTTATGAATGACTTTAACATGATTTCCTCTCTTACTCTGTAAGATGGACAGTTATATATATATGTGGTGTAGTGTGGTAGGTAGTAAATCACCAATGTACCACCATATATCTGCTGTACACAGACAACTATAGTTGGAGATTCTTCACAGAGGTGCTGAGCAGATGGGTAAAGTGTTGTTCATCAAGAAACAGTTCAAACACGTAACTCCCCCTAAAACCACAATCTGTCGTTTTTTTCATTTCTGCTCGTGCCCAGCTTAATCAAATAAGACAGAGCATGTAAATAAGTCAGCTTTTGAGGTGTTGCTAAGCTTATTTTTTTAACTTTGAATAGAGCCAGGCTAGCTATTTCCCCTGCCTGTTTTTATGCTAAAGCTAACCACGCCCTGACTCCAACAGTGTACTGAACTCAGACATGAGACTGATATTGATCTTCTCTGTGTATTTCCCAAAGCTACTCTTTTAAATGTTGTCCCAATAGTATTCACTATCTTGAGTTTGACGCAGGCTAATGAATATGTGGAATCATGATGTGATCCATGTTCAAAGGATGACCTAAGCGATACATACTTACAATGTGAAATATAACATGATGGATAATGGAACAAATACCGTCTAAAACATGACTTAAGAGCCTTGTATTTCTTCCTCTTGTTGTCACTGTTGTATCCAGTGACACAAATACACACACACAAGGAGGGGTGAGTCACACTCACTTCTGTTTCTCCACTTTGTAGGAGGCAGTGAGGTCATCAAACAACTTGCTGTTCATCTCCATGAAGGTCTTCAGCACGTTGTAGATCAGAGACACAATGGTCCTGGAGGGACAGAATGAGACGATAATCAACCGGGGCAGTTACCGGTCCCCGGGGATTATGGGTCAGGAGATAGAGGTTAAAGTTAACACTTGGGTCATTCATGTGTCCCTGCTAGGTTGTTAGCTCTACTGCTAATTCTTTAGCATAAATTGTTGGTTGATAGGAGGCCAGCACATTTATCTCAGTGTTGGGGAAATTACAGTTTGTAGCATCTGTGAAGTTAAATGGCAAGCAGTTCTTAAGTATTAGCAGTGGTGAAGTAAGTATAATTTTGAAGTACTTGTTTCAATTTCTTATTACTCTACTACATTTATTCAACAGCTATACTAACACGTTACTTTTCAGAATAGATTTTATAGGAAACATATAATCATTTAATAAAATATGATGCATGTTCTTGATTAACCAACATGTAAAGTAGTTCAAATAAGCCCCCTCTTGACTAGCTGAGTGGCATTAAAATGCTGCTTACATGAGTGCAGTAATAATAATTCCACAGTATAATATACAGTATGTAAGTGTCCATCTGGTGTACCTTTACCTTTGATACTCAAGTACATTTTGCTGTTAGTCAAAGCTCAAAGTCAAATTTTGAATGCTTACTAACAACGCAGTATTATGTAGTATTATGAAATTTACTTAAATAGAGGATCTGAATACTTCTTCCACCACTGAGTGAGGCACATGAAGGGATGTTTATACATGTTGTTTCTTGTCCCACAAAATTGGTTGCAGTGGGACCAAACTGTGCTGCTTTGGACACTTTGACGGTGGGGTGTCCGGGCATTTTGATGTAGCTGGCAACTTACACTAGTGACATGCTTTTGTCCTAAATGGAGCTCCCCAGGTGACATTTTTCACCCTCTGAAGACCAGCCGGGAGTGTCTAATTTTATTTGCCATCAAAAATGTAATAGAGCTTGAGGTAACGTCCAAACTGACCATCTAATCTAAAATCAAAAGCTATGAGTTATGATTTATTTTAATGTGTGTGTGTGTGTGTGTGTGTGTGTGTGTGTGTGTGTGTGTGTGTGTGTGTGTGTGTGAGCCACTGACTGGTTCCAGTGCTCCTTGGAGACTCTGTAGAGAGTGGCGAACACCAGCGGCAGGATGACTTGACAGTTCTCCTCTATCAGACTGAGGATGTATTCGTTGTTCCAGAAGTAAAGAGCCCGCTCCGCTACCTGAAACGAACACACAAACAGAGGACTTGACTTTCATTGATCAAAGCTGTAACATCATTTTTTTTATCAGAATTGATTTTCGTACTCAGAAGTTTTTCTACAGTCTGCTTCAGTGGATTGTTTTTTCGATAGTGATATAATAAGCCTGTAGGCGATTAGGTTACTGTTGCTCCCAAACTGTTCGAACATGATATGAAGGCTGATTTGTGTGACTATTCGTTCTTCATTTTTTTTTTTAGATAATACTTTCAAACATTGTAGCGTGGTTTGACTGTAGGGAAGTGTGGCGTTCACCTGGAAGTGAGGGCTGGAGATACAGGCTGCGATCTGCTTGAAGAGCGGCTCCTGCACACGGATGAACTGAGACGGCTCGATCACATCCAGGATCTCTTCAATCTCCCCCAGGAACATCACCTGAACACATAGACACGCCAACATTTTTACAATTTATACATCAAAAGACATTCACATGACTAACAGAAGCAAATTAAAACAACAATAGAGATACAATTTATACAGAAGTCCAACAAGAACAACAAATATCCAGGAAATCACACGAGAAAATGTTTCAGCAGTGACTAATGAGAGCAGCCGAGAAACACCAGCACCTTTTTGTAATCAGCTCTCTCACCTCTTTCTGCGTGCAGGTTTTTGGCCAGTATTTGAGCAGCCCTCTGATGATCTGCAGAGAAAATATGAAGCATATTAATATAAATAAACCCTGCAGCCATTAGCTTGGCAGGGTGGCTGGCTGCCGTCCATCTGTGCCATCTCCATTAATTCATATTCAAACTATGGCTAGTGCATTAAGAAATATGTTGTTAGCTTAGTTTTTTACTGTACTGATGTTAGTGAATGAAGAAGTCGGTTGTGGTAAATGCTCTAATTCAACCTCAGGCCAGCAGAGTTGAGATTACATTGGTACTTACTACTTACAGGACTAATGCTAATCATAATCTTTGGTGGTCATGTGACTTGAAATAATTTACATTATATATAATATTATATATATATTATAATATAATAATAATCTATTAGAACATTTTACTATATAATAAAGACTTTTTTCACAGATTTGTCCATCATTTCTATCAGTTATAAGAGCACTACACTCACTACAGTAAATGCTCTGATCTAAGATAACGCCTCATTACACAGGAAAACTGTGATGGATGTTTACAAACAGAGAGATTGGGTAAACATTTTACCGTTCTACCCTTGTTTTCTAAGTTATTCACCTTTAAATAGCTTTGGCTAACCGAGCGGTTTGTTAAAAGCAGTGATACCACCTGGAAAATGTAAGTATTATTATGTAATATTTACTCTTCTCCTTTTAGCTCTGTTTTGGTCTCCTCCAACTCCTGATCTGGTTCCACTAAATGCTCCACCATGTTCATTAGTCGATAACTCAGGGCAGGTAGTGTACAGTGGGTTTATCAGAACTTTTTCACTAAAAACAGCTGCCTGCTGCTGTTGATGACAGCAGTGAGAATGAACCAAAACAGTAAAGCTGAGGACCATTAAACAAAAACAATGAGCTCAAAGATACTAAAAAGCTATTGCAGGGGAACTGCACACTCTGGTGATAATTCTCTATATGTTTGTCACCACGTTTGACACCTTTCGCATTACATTCAATCATTTGAGCCACCGTTTATACAAAATATTGATTATTGCAGCTTTAAACCTTTATGATTTTGTTCCTGCCACATCTGTCTTCTGTTTAGCTGTCAATGATATCGCACCAGTTAACTTGGTAGATAGAAATAATGGCTGAAACTGCAAAACTAAGAACTGAACAATCCTTTATATTGGATTAGCATGTATGTTGTAGTGAGTGCAGTGTGGTAATCAAAAAAACAGTCTTACATATTCAGTCACAGTAGCATCTTTCTCCATAAACTGCACCACACAGTAGGCCAGCTGTAAGGACAGGGGAGACGGGGTTAGATCACACACACACACACACACATACACACATACGTTCCCTGAAGCCGTCAAGGAGACAAGGGGGATCTTAGCACTTATCCCACAGGATTACACGCTGCTCAAGATCGGAAAGTTTTCCAAGGGGAGGTGTGTGTGTGTGTGTGTGTGTGTGTGTGTGTGTGTGTGTGTGTGTGTTTTGTACTTCTACATCTTGTCTCCTCTTATATGACCTGCAATAATTTCCTATTATTCAGAGAGTATGCACGTATCCTCCGTGTGTGTGTGTGTGTGTGTGTGTGTGTGTTTTGCGGTTGCCCCCTCCAACCAGGCCGGTTGCCGTGGCAAGTGGGCACCGTGGCGACGGAGACTGTGTGTGCGTGTGTTTACTTCGGAAGGAGTGATGTCACCACACACGAAGTCCCTTAAGGGCAATGTGAGATAGAGTTTAGACCTCTTGTCTCAGCCTCTCTGTCTTTCCTCTGCTGCCCTATTTATACCTTTGCCTTGTTGAAATTATTACTGTACAGCTCTGTTTTTATGGTTATAGTTCAAATGCCGTCAAAATAAAAGTGTGCTGGATAGTCTGACTTTATAGTTACAAATGGTAGAGGTTGTGTGCTGTCAGATGGTTGATGGTTGTTCTCTATCTTTTTTGTAGGACAATCCCTTTTATATTTTTCTTTTTTTTGTTGTTTCTTTCTTTGTCTTGTTTCTGAACTTTAGCTCCATTGTCTGTCTCTCGGGCTGTCTGGCTTTCACATCTTCCACAGCTTTCATACCCCCCCTTGAAAAAAAAAGAAAAGAAGGAAAAAGAGGAGGATTAAAATAAAGGTGCTGATCGGTCAAACTATTTAACGTATTAGCGAGGCATTACTGGAACTGCTTGGGGTAAATATGATGTTGGATTCTGTTGTCAGGCCGGGCTTTGTGGGTGCAGGAGGCCGTTGTTAGGCTAAGGATTATGGACATTGTACTGTTTTTAAGGCTGAGATGTTACCAATATTGATTTGTCAAGGTGACAGGTCAAATTAGGGTTTATTTTTGGGGATAAAGTCATTCTAGAGAGCTCAAATGTTGGCTTCTTGCCTGTAAATTTGTTGCAACCTGCACATTAAAAAGAAGTCTTACCATGCTTTTATAGTTCTTTAAAGTTGTCTTTGTCAGATATATACATGGTGATTCAGTGTCAGTTGTAAGGTCCATTTTTCAAACAAGGATAAAAACACATTTTGGTGAAGACTCCTCTAAGGTTCAGGCCTCTTTGTGAGAGTCTCCAATGCAGCAGTTGACTGACATTTGAACTTAGCGTCAACTTCCGTGTTGGTTACTGACTAGAGTGTTTCCTGAATAGCTTACAAGCACTGATATAAGTCGTCGGTTTTTCCCTTTTCAACAAGCCTACATAACACTAGGGGGACTAAATAGCGTTAGCTCTCTGTCCTTCATTGGTCATTGGACCCGTGGAAGCCTCTCAGCAGTCACACACTGCCCAAGTCTCAGATGGGACTTAGCAACAGCTAACATCGGTCCGCGAGCAGGTTTTCTGCCATTGTGAAACTGGAGGACACACTGGTGCCTTAGCAAAAATGATTCATTTCTTTAAAATAAGCGAGTCTTATAACGTAAAAGCACTGCAGTTGCTTCTTGATATTTACCATGTTGTGGATACACAATGTAGCTCTAACAGCTGTCATTGCAATTTAGTGACATGAATATAAATGAGAAAAACCTTCACATGCTACAGGAAGGATGTTTCAAATGTATTTTACAATGTTGAGAAACCTTTAGGATTAATATAAGGTGCTGCTGTCATTTAGATATTTAGGTTTAGAAATGGGTCACTCCTGCACAGCCTCTCCTACTGACTGCAAAACTGCTGTCCACTAGCAACTTATCCCCCGTGACCCTGTCAAACCGAGTGTGTGTTTGAGTGTGTGAATTATGTATGTGTGTGAACCACAGGGAGAGGGATGTAGGGAGAAATGTAGGGCATGGTGATGCTCAGACCCAGAATATACACACACACACACACAGACAGACCAGTTTGTGGAGAACAAGCTGTACGTTCTGCATAATCAAATAATGTGTGACACAAATACAAAAGATACACACACACACACACAACACAATCAGCTGGCTACATCTGTGTCATCAAATATTATGATCACCCACACAAGCAGGCTCATACATGAACACACACAGACCAAAGAAACCATTTTGTGTGTCATACAACAGTTAGTGCCTCTCTCTGCAATATTATCTGTGACTCAACTCTGCCGCCTAGTGTTAGATTTGACACACTGCAAGAATTTCTAACAACTACTACCATTTGAAAGACATTCATGTATCGTTGATTTAACTTCTGGGTTTTATCATTATACGTGCATATATTCAGGCCAAATGTTTGTAGACACTGCTAACTATTATATGCATAAAACCAGAGAGACCAATCAAAGTTTTGACAGGGGATTTTGGTGATGCTGACAGCTAGATTACTGCTAGAGCAAAACACAAGCCAGAAGGTACAGTAGCCAGACAATAAGTAGGGTAGGGTCTATAAAAACGTACAATAAAGCATGCCTCAGTCGGGATAATTATGCAAAACCACCAAATAGTAACAGTTTCAGAGTCACTGGCACAAAATATCAGCAAACAGCGTGTCAGAGTATGCGCTGTATATGTCACTGACCTGTGCGTGGAAAATGGAAAGGGACTTTGCTGTGTGTAGCGGGATGAGAACCCGAACCAGGAACTGCTTGTGTTCAGCCTTTAGGGGCAGGGCAAAGCCATTTATGATGCTGGAGGAGAGTAGAGGACAGATAAAGTTACACTTAAGGACTTTCACTCTGTGGCATGTGAACTCATTACATTACATTTGTTCATTTAGCTGACGCTTTTATCCAAAGCGACATACAATTGCTATATTGTACGCCTCTGGAGCAACTAGGGGTTAAGTGTCTTGTTCAGGGACATTGGTGCATGTGTCACAGTGGGGAATTGAACCCGGGTCTCCCAACCCCATCCCACTCTCCCCACCCCCAGCAACTCTCCTCCTTCTCATGTCTTTCAGTTAGAATATGTCAGAAATATTGGAAATGACCATGAGAGTATGGGTTATATTAAAGCTGCATCTAGTGAGTACTTTCAATATTGAATAATCTTTCATTTTTTTCATCGCAGTTTCATGGGGTGACATGTTCAAATTGCTTGTTTTTTATAACCAACAGTACAAAACCAAAAGATAGCCTCTCCAATTAACAATGATAGGAAACAGAGAAAGGCAGCACATGTGAGAAGCCGGAAGAAGTGAACGTTTAACCTCAAAGATGCCTTAAATTTATCAACAAAAATGGTTGTTGATAAATCAATGAATCGCTAGGTTAGATGTTGCAGGTGAGACCGATAACCTGTTAGATGATTAGCAATAATGAGAATAAATCATTATCTCCAGGAAGATGTCCCATCAGTTTTCATTCGTATAGCTCACGGCATGTACAAAGTGAACATTTACATGAAAACATCACATATTACTCCTAAAATCTACTGTTCACATCTGTATGAGCGTGCATTCGTCTGTGTGGTGGAGTCTGTCCACTTCTAAGTGACAAAATGTGTGGTCTGCTCTGTTCACTACTACACTGATGGACATGGAGGTAGTTCAGCCTACGGAGGGAAGAGTATGAGCAGTGGAAGAGTGGGAACTAAACTTGGAAACACTTATTTAGCAGCACTGATCTGTCAGTTTGCGTGGACTATTTATCTGTTCATCAGTCTACCTGTCTGTCTGTCTTGATTTTCTAATAGCATCTTTGTTTAATAGAACACTTCCTCAATAATATCTTCCTCCTGCTGTTCCTCCAATCTTTCTGCCTCCCCCATCACCCTTTTTATGAATACTCCTGTCTTCTTTCCCTCTCTCTCTCTCTCTCTCTCTCTCTTTCTGTACAGAGTACCCTCCCTCGTTCATTTCTCTCTCCATGTGTGGGAGGAGCTATAAATACCTCTGTTACCACCAACATGAATACAAACCTCTCTCTCCGCTCCTGCTCTCCCTCCTCCTTCCTTCTGACTCACCGTTCACTCACTCATCCTCCCCATCTCATTGTATGACTCCATCTCTCATCCTTCCATTCCTCCCTCTTTTCTCACCTTGGCGTCATCCTCTCTTCTACCTTCCTGTCTTTTCTCTACATTAACCCAAGGGTCTCGAACCGCAAAAGTCATTTTTTAATTTCACTTTTTGATCAGGTGAAATGGATGGTGGTTATGGGTTAGAAGGAAGCTTTCGTGTGAGCCTCTTGATCCTTTATGTTGAAACAATAATATCACTTTTGGCTAAAATATTCTAGCACTTCACACAAACTACTCCAGTATTTCTAAATCTCTTTGAATCCAGCCCTGTTTTAAACTCTCTTCACTTTCTTCTATGTTTAACATCAATAAAGATTATTTAAAGGCACTTCTGCCTTATTAATGTTGAATAATGACAAAGACAGAGGGCACAAGCGAGATTCCTTTGAGAAAAAATAATATTTATTGACTCTAATACTAATACTGATTTGTTTGCTGTCTGATTTCTCATCCTCAGTCTTGTTTATACTTTCTCCTTCCATCTCTCCATGTCTCAATCTCAGTCTGTTTTTGTAACAGAAGTCGGCTATGTGTAGGTAACAAACTAATGTCAACAATTTCAAGTTTCTCTCTCTCAAACTTGAGTAAGCAGCTACAGCTCTGAAGAGTGTCTGCATCTTTCATTTAATTGCTTTCTTTCCAAGAAAGAAACAGCCCCTTCTTTTACATACGTTAGCATTTGAAGGCCACTTCCTACCTAGCCAGCTAACTAGCTAGGTTGTCATGTAGCTTGGGTTATAAGTCTATGGTTATAATTCAAAGTGAAAAGCCACTGTCAGGAGGTTCACAATTCACACACCGAGACAATTACAACTCTGAGATGTGTGGTCATACTAGCCAACAATATCTTGCTAACACTGTTAAAATTTGTTCTTCACTTTAATGCTGACTAATAATTCAAGCTCAGGCAAACTAGCTGTCTGTCTCTTCCTCTTCTTCTTTGTAGAACATCAATACAAATTATTTAAAGACATTTCTGTGCTAATAGTGTTGAATAATGAAAGAAAAAGGGCACAATAGATGCCAGACAGTCTTTGAGAGAACAGCAAATATTCACTGCTTTCATTTTTAAAAAGAAAGCAAATGACTACACAGACACAGTAACTTAACTAACCTCTCCTTTATCTAGCTTATGAAGGCCACATGCTACCTACCAACGAACGTCTTAAGATAGGCTGTGATGTGAGCCTGGATTATCAGCATCAGAGTTAATTTAATGTTAAGCGTACCAGGTAGCTGGTTAATTCAGAAAAACAAACTATGAAAAGAGCTAAACGACTTAAAGTGTTTTCCTTGTGGTCACTTTAGCCAACAGCAGCTAGCTAACCATGCTAACTCTACACATTATTCTGAGGACTCTAAGCTCCCAACCAGCCTTGCTAGTTACCCTGTTCATGTATGTTTTAATCAAATAAGACTAGATTATGTAAACAAGACAAAGGTGTTATTTATCACAAAGAAAGCATGTGTTTCCCAAAATGCTGAACTACTGCATCATCTTGCATACAGTCGGACTGAGGAAAACAAACTAGATAATTTCACCAATCTTGTTTGTGCTCTTCCTCCATTTTTCTCACTCTCTTTCTTTTTCTATTACTGTCATCTTTCCATGCTTGTTCCCATTGATTTGTGTCTCTGCACAGGCAGAGAGCGAGGCATGTTTGTTTATCAGTTTGGCTTCCTGCTTGCTTTCTCTTCATTTCTGTCTTCCTCATATTTCTCCTGCTGGCCTCAGAGACAAAGCAACAAACTATACAAACCTATGAGTCATTTCTCATTTATGTCTTTAACCCCCCTCCTGTTTCGGTCGCCCCACCTTTACTCATTTCCCCCTGCCTTATAACTCATTTCTCACTCTGTCTGGCTCTGCACCTACAGTTGTGTTTACCTGATAAGAAATAGATGATAAATGAAAAATAAATGCCTATTGTTTTTGGTGTTGAGCGAATGCAGTAGTGGTTACGCTTTATCTGCATTTTCATAGTTGCTTAATTCACTGGGTTACCAGCTGTCTCATGATTAGAAGCAGCTGGCCAAGTACAGTACGTGTGTATATAAGTGTATGTGGGTGTGTCTGTTCAGTTTCAACTCCAAATACATTCAAATTCCATGATATACTACAAAGTATGCTTTCCTGCAGAATAGCAACACTTTCACTCAAAGTGTATCTGCGTGATTGTGGATACAAACCTGCCAAGGATCTCCAGAAGCTCCGCGACTCCGTTGAAGTGCTCAGTTTCATAGATGAACCTGAAGATCACATACAACACGCAGACACATATAGGGTGAAGCAACTGTTTCTAGTTTAATAAAAGAAATAGCAACTTAAAAATGGCTGCAATTCTAAAAACAGTAAAACATATTCCCTTAACGTCCTGTAAAATTAGCCACACATAAAATTCCTTAGTGATTGATCAGTATCATGGTGTACCATATCTGGAATACAACTCATTCCTCTGTGACGAAATAATGTGAGAGAGAAAGCACAGTTTAACAGTTAGGCAGATGTATGTTTATCCTCTATATCTTAGCTGTCAAAAGGCACAAACAATGATGCTGAAACCAGTTAATTGGCAGAAATATAACATGTTGCAGTATGTTGCAAAAACAACAATCCAGGCCTGCTTGGTGAAGGGAAAAAATTAAACATGATCTACATCACAGCACTGTCTGACAGCTGTATAACCAATCATTTGAGGAGATTTGTGTCACTACGCAATGATTTCACTCTCAGGATGGATGCAGGATGGCTGATTGAGTGAGTGTTATGACTGCAAATGTGTCCGTTTGTTTGCATGTGTGAGAGAATACTACATTATATTAGACAGAAGATACTACATGTAGAATTTAGTCTTACTCAAAACTTAGATGACACGTCCCTAAGAACCTGGTGCTACTTGTCACAATAGGGATGTCACTACCTGTCTCCCGTTCGACTCTGTGTTGTTGGTTATGCCCCATTCACATCATATCGCACAGACCTCTTAAAAAAACGCTCCAAATATGTAACACAATAAAAAAAAGGTTAATTTAGCATGCAACTTTTGTCAGAAAATCACAGCCCTTGGTAAGAATAAATATACATTCTGACCACTTGATTAAAGGTGGGAAAGACTTGAAAATGTTCCTGTTTTGTGCTGAAAATCATCACTATTTTTTCCAGTGACGCACCAAGCTAAAAAAAACATTACTGAGGTCACAGCTGTTCTCCCTGCTAAAGGTCTTTGTTGGGTAATGTTTGATTTATTGATGTTAAAATGCTATAAAAAGCACATTTAAATCCTGTACATTGGATCAGTGGAAGGCAGCCTGTACCTGAGGAAGATGTTGTTTATCTGTTTGCGGATGTAGGCTCGTAGGCCCAGTAGTTTTCCATAGACACGGTGCAGGATGGTCTTTAGGTACTCCCTCTCCCTGGGGTCCTCACTGTCAAACAGCTCCAGGAGCTACACACACATGATAGTTTCAGACACAAATACAGCATAATATGGTTCTTGCAAGGACCTTTTATGACTGCATTCATCCTCTAACCTCCTCACACCTACACCCAAATCCTAACCTTAAACTCATTTTAACTATTTAAAAAAATAAAACTTAAACCATACAACAGCTCATGTTTAATTTAGTTTCTTGTGAGCGCATTTCAGGGTCACAGAAAATTATTTTTACCACCCATAATATTAATATAACATTAACTATTTTTTCTCATCAATTACTTAAATTAAGCAGGATATTGAACATAAACTAGACAAGAACTTTGGAGTTTTTAAGTCAATATTTTATATGTGCCCCAACCTAGATAACAAAATTTGAGCGCACTTCAGCAGGGATATTACTTGGTCCTGCGATGGCTGCTGTTTCAGAGGAGCTTTATTTATTTATACCTTTCCATTTATCAGGATTTCAGAGACATCTTCGAGCTTTGGATTTGACAAACTGCAGCTTTCAAGGAGAGAGAGAGAGAATTACCTGCAAGACAAACTTCTGGTCGACGTAGCGTTTGGCCATGGAGGGCTGGAAGTCCGGGCTCTCCAGGAAACGCAGAAAGAACTCGTACACCAGCTAACGAAGGCACAAACAGCATGCAATTAGACGTCATTTAGTGTGTCTGCGTTTGTCTCCCGAAGGAATAATTTGACATTTTGGGTATTACCCATGCAGAGAGTTAGATGAGAAGATTAATACCATGTCTGTATGCTAACTATGTAGCAGCCAGTTAGCTTTTTATGGTGTAAAGAGTGCTCATACACAAATCAAGAATGGAAAAATGGCAGCAATAAAAAAAATTATGAACACGAACAAGACTGCTCTTCTGTTATTCTTAAAAAAAACTATGCTAAAGTAATTGTTCAAATAAGCAAACTTATTTGCTTTCATTTCAAGAGTGAGAAAATAAGATCAGTATCAATCTCTCTGTGTGTCAAAAATGAAACTGGAGTTGTAGCCTTCAGCTAGATGTGGTTAGCCTAGCTTAAAAGAGTGCCGTTTTAACACAGTTTTGGTTTTCACACATTAAACAAACGAGATAAAAACTTATTAGTGGGCTTTAGAGGTGCTGGTGGGTGGATTTTTTAACCTTTAGACACAGCCAGAATAGCTGTTTCCAGTCTTAATGCTAAGATAAGCTAACAGACTACAAACTCAGAATGAGGCTTCACATTGACAGGACAAATACGAGAGTGGTATCAATCTTCTCATCTAACTCTCGACAAGAGATTTAAGCGTATTTTTCAAAATAGCATAAATTTTTATTTTAAGCTGCTCTAGGCAACACAGCATGGTGGTTGGTCCAAAGGGCATCAACTTGTTCTGAGTTTAGGAACCTGGAACTCTTTTTGAGATCAGAAAACTTCACCTGCTCACTTTATGCTTAAGTGTATGCTTTATAACAAAAGAAACCAACTGGGGAGCGAGGGAAAAAGACTGGGCTGAGACAGTTTGGACTTCACGCTACGTGTTGACTCATCTCTTCCTGAAGGTGCAGAAGTGCACCACGCTCAAATGTCATCTGGGCATACACCACAGGTCTATTTAAGAGTTGTGACGTTCTTCTTCACTACAGCTCCATTTTGTGATTCAGGGTGATAAGACATAAGGCACAAATTGTTGCATTAAACAGCAGTTTTAACTGATCTAAAGGACCTCAGGCTCAGGTATAGTATGTTTATGTACAGATAAATGCTGAATGCTGCATTAAAACCAGCACCTGGTGGGAGATGTGTGCATTATAGCAATGTCCACCCTTCCAAATATAGTATAAAATATATAGTAAAGCCCATTTTTCATGACACATTGTGTTTCACTTTAATGACAAACAAGTACATCACAACAATTTTGGCAAAAAAGACAAAAGTGAACACATTTTGCTGAACACATCCTTTCCAAGAGAAACTTCTCCCTTTACCTCTGCAGGGGAATATGTAAATCATCAGAATATGGTCATACTTTTTCCACAGCATGAATTTTCATATGTACCTGCAGATGCGGCCATGAGGCTTCGAGTGTGGGCTCATCTTCTTCAGGGTCAAACTCTGGATTCTCGCTTGGTGGGAGAGTCCGGAAGATATTTACAGAGATCTGGAGAACCCCAAACAAGGAGGAAGGAGGGACGAGAGCAATGGGAACAGGAGGAGGAGCGTGAGGAAGAAAGTAGGAAGTGGAAAAGATGAAGATGGATGAGAGGTAAGGAGAAATGTGGATAAGGGGGATTAGAAAGAACCAAATTACACACGGTATGCTCCTGTAAATGTTGTTGATATCCTGGACATTATTTCATGATTGAGAGAAAACAGAGGGATGTAATGTTTGTATTTTTTAATAACTAGGCCTGTGAGTCTCTGATTGAAAGTTTCTTAGCTGTCCTAGTACAGTATCGTGACAGAGCAAAAGCATCCTTTGACTCATTTCAAGACTTCATCATGCTGATCTTTCAACAGGAGCAGCAAATTAGTTGTCCGGATAGATCCAGGATGAATAGTTGGTGTTATAAAACATCAAGAGTCCTGTGTTAAAAGGACAGTTGGGTGGGTTTCTCTCAACTAAATCCAGCGAATAAAAGGTTGTGTTAGGTGGGTGGCAGTGTTGCACTATTCTATCAGATGCCAGCTGTCGATTTAAAAGAAGAAGCTGTTGCATCAGGGGGAAGAATTAGGCTGTGATCGAGAAGAGCAACTAGCAAGCCATGCAACCTGACTGCTCGCTATGTCATGATTTATTCAACAAATGCATTTCTACTGGCCATTTAATGCATAAACTATATTGCACATAGCAAATGTGGTAACTCCCTAACCCTGACGCCACAATTCAGCATAGTTTTCTTTTCCATTCATTCCTCCTCTCCACACCTCTGTTTGCATGAGTATAACTTGTCACTGCAGGATTATATAGGCTCCCTTCACATGACCATGTAAACTTAACTTGGATTTAAAAAGGTGCAACCCGATTAGCCACTCATTTCTGATGCAACAACATTTCTGGAATTCTGGACAATTGAATCCTGTAAGGTTAATACACATCGTTGCTTTCTCTCGTCTTCTCTCTTCCAGTCCTCCTCTCACCTTTTAGCCTTTATCTTCATTATTTTATCATTAAGATATCTATTTTATATTCATTGCTCATCAAGATCTTTACTTTATTGACTTATTTACTGCAACTATGTTTTTGGTGAGTGTTTGCTATGCTAGCGGTGGCTAGGGACTTTAATCCGTCGGTCAGTTGGTTGGTACACCACTTATGTGCTACATGTTAGCATGCTAACATGCTGAACTAAGATGGTGCACATGGTAAACATTATACCTGCTTAACAGCATGTTCGCGTTGTCATTGAGAGCATGTTAGCATTCTGATGTTAGCATTCAGCTATAATAGGAGCACAGCCTCACAGAGCAGCTAGCATGGCCTTACATTTGTGAGAGATGAGAGAACTAAAATTCTACAACATTCCCAAGTTTGGGAACATAAGTTAACATAAGTTTACTTTCTTGGCCTCCCTTTTCTCCTACATTACATTTATTCTGCTGCACAGCACTCTCTCTCCTATACACTTAATAGCAACTTCTATTATAGAATATAAGCTTTTTTTACCTTGTGGCCACCCATTAAAGCTTTCGCCCTCTTTCCTTTGATCCTCTGTCCTATCAGCAGTTTCTCATCCTCTGGGTAAAGTGACTACGTAACATAAACTATATCCTGTTACCTTCTTTCCTCCATCCCTTTTTCCTTTCCCCCTCTATATATCCTCTGTGACCTCTGGTGTTCTGTGATGGTGTCCACACATTTTCCAACACACTCTACTTTATCTTTCTTATCCATCCCTCTCTTTCTGGCCATCTGTGCAGCCAATTGCTTCTTAGCATCCTTTGCAACCGCTCTATCTCTCCTTTCCCTACCTTGCCTTATCTATCTAACCCCCTTTTCTCATCTCCTCCACCACCTTTGATTGTAGTCTCTGGTGATTCCACCAGAGCACCTCAGCTGGATATCACAGTCTACCTTCTTACTTTTCCTCTTTCATCCATCCTTTCATCCTTCTTTTCTAGTCTATTTTCTTGCCGTGTGTGTCACAAATGATAAGGACTGATTGATGTTAAATTTTGGCATTTGGACACTTAGTATTTACTCATCTGTCTTTTATTCCTATCCTTTAATATATTCATCCACTAGTCCATTGTTTCAACCCCTAACCCCCCTCTCCTCCTCCCCTCCTACCATCTTTATTGCCTCTGGGTACAGAGGCTCTATGAGGACTCCTCTGCTAGTGGCCACGCTCTCCACCAGCTCGTTGAGTGCCGCACGTTTGATCTCCTTCCCCTTCAGGTCAGCCACGCAGTCCAGGAAATCAAACAGCACGCAGCACTGCTGCAGCTTCTTACAGAACAGGTCATGTAACTCTGCCACCGGGGCGTCTGGATGATTTAGAGGTAGGAGAAAGAGAAAGACAGCAAAGAGAAATGTTAGAAAAGGACAGTAAAAGACAAAAAAAGGCGATGCAGCTCAGCCAAATCCGATGGCTTTCCTGAAAGGCGCTTTGTGTTTGGTAGTGAATCGTTTGACAAAGTAGGAGTGTTAGAGTCTACAGAGATGTGTTCTACAGGCTAGATCTTCTCTCAAAGGTAATGAGGGAAAGAGAGCAAACTATTACTCTACAAACACATTTGTACACACCCACACAGGGCTTGCCTCCATAGACACACACGTCCACACACACCTTCCTCCAGAGGGCTGTGTTGTATCTCAGTCCTATTACCTGTCAGATTCATTTTCCAGACCTGTTCGTCACAATGAAACAACCTGCTGCCGGCCGTCAGATTAAAACCTTGTACGTCCAAAAAACACCACTTTTCAAAAGGTGTAGAGAAAGTGGCTGATACCCATGGATTACTGAACACATTAAATTGATTCCACGGGCCTGAGGGGGTGTGAAACTTACCAGCTCAGCCTATAAAGCATCATGCAAATTGTTTTTTGTTTTGTTTTTTTTTTGGGGGGGGGGGGGGGGGGGGGGTAGAAAAAAAGAAGCAAATGCCAAAGTACAGAGTTACAAGCTTTGACAGCAGCTAAATGGGAATGCTTGGTTCTGAATAACAAGATGATGGATGGACTCAATAACTAAATGTAGTGAAATATCCCAATTTTAGATTCCTATAGAAATGAGATGTTCTGAACAATATAATATGCTGGTCTATATTGAGATAAATGGTAAAACGCACATAAAATATAAGGGGGATTTCCTGCAGAATGCAGCAGACAGTATATTCATAACATGATATATGTTTGTCATAATTGCTATGACAATTAAGAGTAGGTGAGCTGGAAAGACATCACAGACAGATCACCTTCTTTGATTATATGTTTAAAACTCTGAATCATTTTCCAGCTGTATGCTGTGTATGCACAGTATGTATAGTACATGACCTTGATAGCCTAGACTAGACCTGACTGGGCAATCTGTGTTGGGTTAAACTCAATGGCGGAGTAAAGAAGTTGTCAGTGGCCACCACAAACTGCAGCTGGGCCACCACACAGCACAATTTGAATCACTCTTTTCTTTTAACCTTGTCCTTTTCCCAGGATTGTGGAGACTAAACTAAACACATGCACAATATCATAATAGTGTATATTGGTGGGTTCTGCAATTCCAAGTTGCTTTTCTACTATAAGCTGTCATTTCCTTTCTTTCAAATGGGGATATTTGTTACAAATATGTCTGCCAATTAGATTTTTAATATTATATGCCCCCATTTTGCTAACATGCTCACAATGACAATGCAAACATGCTGATGTCCGTGAACATCCATGCTCTATGAAATGTTAAGGGACCACCAAAGTGATTAAAATTCATCCTGAGGGGTGCATGAATGCGTGTATCATATTTCATGGAATTCATCCAAAGAGGTGGATCGACCAACAGAGCAACATTGCCATCCCTAGGGCCATACTCCAAGCATGTCTAAAAAGAGGAAGCCCTTAAAGTATAATTCGTAAAACTATACTTGCAAGCGTGGTGCTTACTGAACTGTCGCTGTTGCCTGAGCAAATAAATAAAAGAGTGGGTGACCAAAAATAGTGACTACTAAGCTTAGAGCGCCATGACAAAAAGAAAAAAAATTGTAGAACAAGACACCGACCTCCGTGCCACCCCAAAGAGATTAGTGATCTCAGGCTTGCCCCTATATAGGTTCCCCTTAAGTACTGGTTACTCTGTGTACTTACAGTCATGAACAAATAATCTCCCTCTGTCAGAAAAAACAATACAGCTTTACCAAAAGCTGAATAGCTTGGAAGCAGTCTAGACTAGCTGTGCGGTTGGAGAGAGGATGATCAAAAGGTCTCACGCACACACACACACACACATACACAGCGGGAGCAGATTAGATTTAACCCTGCTTAACCACGAGGTGAGAAACACAGGAACGGTAAGGGGGGCAGACTGGAGCTCTTCCAGCCCCTGACCCCCTCACCTCATGTGGGCGCACCAGGACCATCTGCTCCCTTTGGCACAGAGCTGCACAACAATAGACGAGGGCTGCCCTTTACTTGATGTGTCAAGGCACAAGACACACACTCTTTTGAGACCATTGACAGTGGCCTTTTATTCTATCAATTATGACCAACCATGCTTCACATACTTTATATGGTGATCTGACAGAGTATCCATTCACCAGCAGATTTGTTTAAACTCTGATACATACCGAAACACCCAAGTTGCTGTTTGATAAAGTCCCAGGCTGGTGGTATGGAAACACCTAAAAAACTTAAATGCAAGATTATGATCCTAATTTTATGATTTGCAACTTCATTATTAGGGGCTAGATTTATTTCTCTGAGCTGTTCCTTGTTATATATGCAAACAAATGTGTGTTGTTTTTGTATAAACTGTCAGAATACCTGGAAACGCAGTCTGCTTCTTGTTTTTTGTCCTTCCTTTTTGCCCATTTTGCATCTAGTGTTGACATCTATGAGCCTGCCCATTGAGCTGTACCGAGCAACCAAATTGTTCTTGAATTGCAGCCATTTCTCAGTGACTGGACAAACATGTGACAGCCAAGTTCACACAATTTTCGGACTATTTGTGATGGGAAAACAAGTGTGAAAGGTTTAAGAGGTTGAAATAGTTCTTCTGACTTTGCTTTGAGAACAAATGTGAGTCTGAATCTGTAAGGTGAACACAAACCCCCTCTGTATTTGTGGTTTTTTGCTGGTTTGTGAGAATTGTAGCTTCAGTCTTTTCATCCTCCTGACCCTTCATCACTCATAAAACTTCTAGAGTACGATCCTTTCCTATATTTCCCCATACCTCAGTTTTCCTTTCCCTTCCTAATCTGCATCTTTCTATCTCTTCGTCATACTCTCCTGATTTGTCTTTGCCCCCCCTCTTCTCCCTCCCTCCTGTTCTCCCTCTGTAGAGACTGTGAAGGTGAAATCTAATCCATTTTTAATGGAGAGTAATTGTATGAAGATGCGACGTGGTGGGACTGGGGAAAAAAAGAACAGGAGCAAGGTGAAAAGACGAAGGGAAAGAAAAAGCATGTACTGTATGTGTGTTTGGGAGAGTGAGATAAGAGGTGAGAAAAAGAGAGGGAAGATGAAAGGAACGAAGACACTTGGCGGGTCATGTGAGAGCAAGTGTGGGAGAGAGTGAAAGGAAAAGAAAATGAAAGAGCAAAAAAGAAAGGAAAAGTATATGACAGGCACAGACAGATCCACAGTACATATTTTAAGCAAATGGGCTGAAGCTGTTTTTCTGTGTCGTTGTTCGCTAAAGGTTTATATCAGGTCTATCATCACGTCATGTTCAGGTAGAAAAGATTTCCGAAGACACAAACTCACACAGTGAGGCAGTGTAAAAACCAAACTTAGGCAATACTCAGTGAAGCTCATTTTAGTTTTCGTCATGGCTGTGCTATTATTAGTTCAACACAGGTCGCTCCAGAACCATTCATTGAAAGCAGCTTTTAATATAATGTCAGCGCAGTGATTAGAATAATACGATGTTAATCACAGCAAGAGTCATTTATGACTCACTATTTTCATGTTTTCCATGTTTCTAACAATCCAATTTAGCATTTTGAATGAGTAACAAGCCTAGCTGTGACTATAACATCCAAAATGCAACATTTAATGCATGTAGTTTAATTTTTCTTCCTAATTTATTTCATCTTTATTAACTCAGACAGTCCCTTGAGATTAAAACTCATATTGTAAACATGGCACACCATTACCAAAGGTACATTACCACAATTATAAACGCATGTTCAAACAGTCAGTAAGAACAACAGGCATATAATGTAGCCACACAATAATTTACCTTTTTTTTCTTCATTATCGGAAAAGTTTACAGGTCTGCGTTTTTCTTTTAAAGGTTACATTAATCAATATTTCTATATTAGCAATGGATCCTTTGACTGTTTGTAATGTGAAAGAGATCACTCTTAACAACAAACTCAAAGGGAATTATCACCAGACTCTGAAGTTTTCCTCATCTCTAAACGGAGGGTTTTAACTTGATTTGAACGCGCCACTTTACTGTTTTGGTTCACGCTCAAAGCTCCCATCAATCACGTTTCAAGATGCAGACAGCTAAAAACAGACGCCACCTGCCTAGCACCAAAGAGCAGAGTAAAGCAAAGTAAGCAACTAGCTGGTGAACATGGTGGGGCATTTGGCAGCCAAAGTGCCAGAAATTTCCCTCAGTAAAATAAAACAGGGCTAAAAGGAGAGTAAGTATTTGACTTATTGCCAGGAAGACAGAAACAACCAGATGAATACTAATGTTGCTCTGAGTCTGCTGGATGTTTTTTTACACATTTGGAAAACCAACTTTAGAAAGTGATCACATGTCAGTGTCGTGTTTACAGCTTGTACCACTGCCCCTAAAAGGCCCACATATAATTAGCACTGCTTTAAAATGACTGTAACCCCTGAATTGTATGTGTAACAGTTAACTAAGTACACTGCACTTCATCGTAAGTTTTACAGTGGAAGCCGTTTATAGAGGAGGTTAAATTTGTTTTTTGTCTAGACGGAAGGCATAAAAGAGTTCATAGCTTTCAGCAGACGCCCATCCTGCATGTCAACTCATGTTTATTTGTAAAGTCAAATATTAATGTACATAAAATGTCTCATTGGGTTTTACACATGCACATCATCAACATTTCCTAACCTAGCCTTGTAGCTGTCTAAGCAGCGAGTGAAAAATTCTTTGGTGCGTGAGAAAAATAATGTGAGAAACCTCTGGAGAGGCAACTCAATCAGAGATTCCCTCTCCACGGATGGCTGGGGGTGCAATTGAAGCCGTCGGTGGTAAAAAAGCAATAACCAAAAATGAAGAGAAAGTTAACAAAAATACACAGTCCAATTCATACTGTAACAAGACCAAAAAAAAGTCCAATAGCACATCTTCACA